GGGCAAAAAGATGGCATGAGTGAAACATCATTGTTAAAACGTTATCACATTTGTAAATATATGTTTCCATTTGTCCAACATCTACATGCACAAGTGTCTGTCCAGCCATTACTGAAGGTACACAGTTCAAGATCCTTAGCACTACACCCAATGGTTCAAGTATGATGTCAGCAGCTCCTGCAACATGTGCATTTGGTGGTTTTGTTGCACCTATTTTGGCATATAGACTCCATCTTTCAAGGTAGACAAACACAGGCATATAATAGAATTCAAATTGAATTCCTACAGTATGGAAACAGGCCATTCGGCCCTACAAGTCCACACCGACTCTCCGAAGAGCATCCCACTCAGACCCACCCACCTACCCTATCCCTGTAACTCTACATTTCCCGTGGCTAATCCACCTAACCTACACATCCCTGGACACGATGGGCAATTTAGCATGGCCAATCCAGCTAACCTGCACATTTTTGGACTGTGGGAGGAAACCGGAGTACTCAGAGGAAATCCACGCAGACACGGGGAGAATGTGCAAACTCCACAGAGAACGTCACCCAAGGCTGAAATTAAACCTAGATCCCTGTCACAGTGAGGCAGTAGTGCTAACCACTGAGCCACCATGCCACATTTAGTGAGACTTTGTCATTATCTTGCATGATGCAGCCAGGAGCGTTTGTGGGCAAGGATTTGGCCTACACATAGTAGGCTAATGCCTATGGCTCAAGGAATATAGTGCTCCCAGATGTATCTCAGCTTCAGTGGATGAGTGTCAGTGTAATGTTGTTGTCCTTTGAAGGACCTCAGATCTCTAGAACTTGAAGCCCTACTTCCTCACAGAACTTAACCCCCCACCCCAACTCCTGGTGTGGTTGCAGCCATTTCTGTCTCCAGTGCTCACTTGTTACATTTTATTTTCCTTTAGTCATTCATGGGATGAGGGCATTTATTGCCCATCCCTAATTGCTAGAAGGCAGTTATGAGTCAACCACATTGTTGTGGGTCTGGAGTCATGTGTAGGCCAGACCAGGTAAGGATGGCAGTTTCCCTCCCTAAAGGACATTAGTGAACCAGATGGGTTTTCCAACAATCAGCAATGGATTCAGTCATCATTAGACTGTTAATTCCAGATATTTATTGAATTCAAATTCCACCATCTGCCATGGCGGGAATTGAACCCAGGTCCCCAGAAGATTACCTGGGTTTCTGGATTAACAGTCCAATGATAATACCACTACAATATGGAACAACGGATGGCATTAGTGGTTGCTTCTTGAACAATAAGTCTCGGACTCCGTCTCTCCATCTTGGTGAACCCACAGCTCCTTAAATATCCCTTCCTGGTATTCCCTCACCCCCTCCAACCCCATAGGTTACGCATTTTCCCAAGTCCTCACCCAACTTATTTATCTGAATCTTCATCTGTCTGTTCGACCACCCCAGCTGAAGCATATCAAGTAAACATGCTGTTTCTCCTCCCCCCGCCTCCACTCATAGAAGCCAGGGTGCAACAACACTCCCTTATCCCCTCCATGAGCCCTTTTCCTCCCATATTGTCTCCCCCCAATATTGAGTTGCCCCTTCACTATTGTAATCCCCTCTGCCTTCCTGGATCCAGTTCCCACAATAACATTCCCCAGTCTTCCTCCTGCAGCAATGGCCCCAATAACTCCCTCTACATTTAGTGGATGGTCCCCAGGACGGGCCATGGCCCACCACCTCGTGTGACTTAGCTGGGCAGCTCAAACGATGACAAGACCTCTGACTGGTAATCTGTATGGCTCCCCCATTGGCTTCCGATGACTCCCCAGATGGGTTGTACTGAGCTGACTGCAGCTCACTCTCAAGGTTGTAGAAGTACAGGCCCCTTGACCCTGACCACCCGGCCAGCTGAGTGATCGTGTCCAAGCCCCTGTACTGGAACTGGAGGCTGTCAATAATGTATTGTGCCAGGACCTCCTGAAAGGTATCTACCTGGATGAGACTGAGGACTACTCCTCCTAGACTTTGTGAGATGACTGTTTGCTTGCAACAAATGCGATGTGCTTGCCATATATGCAGCTGTCACATGGTGAAAGTATGAGATTGAAGCAGCACTGTGTCGTTCAGCAATATTTCCAACCCACTGATTGCCAACCAACCTGACAAGCTGCCTTAGCTGCTTTATTTTTGCAATGGAAGACAGAAGTACTGCGAGCCTTTACAATGCAGTTGAGGGGACCAAGTATTCAAAGACAAGGCTTAGCAGTGTTGACCGTTGAGGTAGATGCTTACTGACTGAGCACTAAGGGATTGAACAAGCAACCCTGAGATGCATCTTGGTATAATCCATACATTTGGTGCTTGAATCTGCGCACAAAGTGACCTTGCAGCACCATTTCAATGAAAGTTGCCAATGCACTCCAAAGTGAAGTAAGGTAGAGCAGTGTATTGCAAGTGAGATTAAGTAATAATCATTGAATTATAGAATCCATACAGCGCAGATAAAGCCCATTCAGCCCATTAAGTCTGTATCAAAGCTTTGAAAAGCATCCCACCCATACCTCACCCCATCCCCACACCCATAACTCCATATTTTCCATGGCTAATCTACCTAACCTGCACATCCCTGGACATGACAGGGAAATTTACCATGGCCAATCAACCTAACCTGCACATCTTTGGACTGTGGGAGGAAACCAGAGCATCTGGAGAAAACCAGATGTAGGAAGAACATGCAAACTCCACACAGAAAGTTGTCTGAGGTTAGAATCAAACCTATGTACCTGGCACTGAGGCAGCAGTGCTAATGCTGCCCTTAATAATGAGGTGACAATGAGCAATATATCCACTAATAGGCTTTGCAGCATTTATCAATGAGAATCTCATCTCAGCGCCGAGAGGTTGGTTGGAAAGTGTGACAGTTGTTGCTTCCAACATCAAGAAAAGCCTCACTTGACTTGTCATGTGATTTCTTACCATAGATCAAGTTGCTCAGGGTCTGGATACATTCTGCCCATGCGGTCTTAGCTGTTACCAAACCATATTTCTTTCTCTCTTCTGCCACTCTAAAGCTGCTTTTGAAGACGGGTCCCTTTGTGTATTCCTGAGTCTGACTCTTGTTTCTTCAAGCTAAAGGCTTGATATTTTTCATGTCTAATGTATACCCTTTATAGGTTATATGTACATTGAATCAGGACAGGCCAGTTTCCAAATGGCTGACTCAGTTGACTTGTTGCATCTCTTCAGATAAAATTATAATTTCATTCAGATGGTCTTGTTTGTGTCACGCTGGTTTTCTGAAGATGTTTGTCCTTTTTAAAAATCATTTTGTCCATAAAATAACAGGTTTCAAAATGAGTGCGGAAGTCCCGGCTTGACCAAATTAATAGTCTACTGACCATAAAATTGCTGCAAACAAACTGCCAGAGTGTGTGGCTTCACCCCTGACATTTGTGTTGGAAAGATGAGGATTCCAGCTGAGAGTAAAATTGAGCTCTAGGATTCTAATGCATTAGGTATTCTCACCACCACATTCGAAAGCAGCTTCACATTCTCAATTGGGAAACATTTTAGTTTGTCCCTTTCAAGTTATTAATTTACATAGAATTACATACGTGTTTTGGTACAGAATAAAGCCAGTCAGGCTAACAAATCTAGGCTATTGTTTATGCAACAGACAAGTCTTCTCTTACTTCAACTCTCCCTGTCAACATTTAAGGATTCTAAGTTCTAAGATTCTAATTTATCCCTCTATTGCCCCCTCACTTATGCGTTTTATGAGATTCCTCTTAAAGGCATCCATGTATTGTTTGTCACAATGTGGCAGCAAGTTCCAGGTTTTCACCACTCTCTGTGTAAAGACATTTCTCCTGACTTCCTTATCGCAGTTATTAGTAATTATCTTAAATTTATAGATTTCAGACATGCACTTGCCCACAGGTGGAAACATCATCTCCATGTCTACTCTATCAAACCATGTCTTGATTTTGAAGACACCTCTCAGTTTGCTTCATTGTCTTCTGATTTATCATGCCATCTCAACAGCTCCTATGCAGTAACAGTGCAAAGGTACAGAAAGTGATCCATGTGAAAACTCTGTTATAATCATGTGCTTTAATTTGCTTATGTCTTGGCTGATACAATTCTGAATATGGTTGTACTTAGGGTAAAGGGTATAATTAGAGTCAAAATTAACACATGTGGCTCCTCTGGTAGGAGCAATATCTCTCTGGCTATGTTTATATAATGGCTCCACATGTCTAGGCGCAGAGGCTGGATTTGATCAAGATGTAAAATTACAGTGCCCCACAGATGGTAAAATGTAACTTGTAAACATTTTAAAGTACTTCCTTATTCCAGGAGACCCACAAAGAACATTTGGGATTCAATTTTTCTATATACTGTTTTTCTGGGGTTCCTGTGGATCTTTTGTAATTGTCGAACAGATAATTAGGAGAACACCCATGAACTTTCTTTGTTAGTGTTTGAGTATTTAAAGTACAAGTATTTTGCACTAATTGTCAAGTTCCTGGCGCATACCATTATATTTGTTAGTGGTAACTATCAGACAGTTATACATAAGCCAATGCCACAATATTGGTGAAATATGCACTATGAATTTCTTCATTAATTCAGAGCATGAGCTTTATTGGCTGGGCTATCATTTATTGGTTATCCCTAGTTGCCCTAGAGAAGGTGCGACAAAGCAGCCTTCTTGAAGCACTGTAATCCTTCTCAGTAGGTAGACTCACAATACTTTTAAAGAGGGAATTCCAGGATTTTGACCCACTGACACATGAAGTATAAGCGTTATATTTCCAAGTCAGGATGGTATGTGGCTTGGAGAGGAACTTGCAGGTGGTGGTGGTGGTGGTCCCATGTATCTGCTGCCTTTGTTTTTTTGGATGGCCAGAGTTGTGAGATTGGAAGGTGTTGTGTCTCTGTGTAAGCATGGTGGACTGTCACTTTAAGAGTCCAATCACATGATGCATTGATGACATCACCTGCAATTTTAGGCCGGAAACAGCCTAGTCGAACCTTTGCCGCTTCAAGAGTAAACAGTTCCTTAGTAAAGTTCCTGTTGTTTAATACCAGTCTCCAGGTCCTTCTAGGAACACAACAGAGGTAGACCTACAACAAATTTGTGTGGTGCATCTTGTAGATGAAATACACTGCTGCTACTGTGCATCAGTGGTGGAGAAAGTGAATTTTTGTAGATGTGTTGCCTGTGAAGTGGGCTGCTTTCTCCTGGATGGTGTCAACCTTCTTGAATGTTGTTGGAGCTGCACTCGTTCAGGTAAGTGGGGAGTTTTCTATCACACTGCTGACTTGTGCCTTACAGACAGTGGACAAGCTTAGGGGAGTCAGGAGGTGCATTACAAACTGAAAGATTCCTAATTTTCAGCTGCTGTTGTAGCTACTGTATTTATATGGTGAGTCCAGTTGAGGTTTTGGTCAATAGGCACCCTAGAATGCTGATAGTGGGGATTTCTGTGAAGTTAATGCCGTTGAATGTCAAGGGACGATGGTCAAGGGTCTCTTTTTGGAGATGGCCATTCCTTGATACTTGTGTGGCACAAGTGTCATTTGCCACTTGCTGACCCAAACCTAGATGTGGTCCACATCTTGCATTTGGACATGAATTACTTCAGTATTTGATGAGCCATGAATGTGCAATATTTAGCACCAATCAGCAAACATTCCCCATTTCTGATCTTATGGTGGAGAGAAGCTCAGTAACGAAACAGTCAAAGATGGCTGGGCCAAGGATACCAAGGTAAAAAAACTCCCATAGTGTGTCCTGGAGCTATAATGACAAACCTCCAACAAACATTGGAGTCATACCTGGCACAAAGGACAACCAGCAGAGCGTCTTCCCCCGATTCCCATTGACTCTCGTTCTGTTTTCTGTTAGGTCCCATTATGGCGCAGGAGACCAAGCATTTGACTATGAGAAATAGAATAGATGAATATCTAACAGAATTAATTGGATGATTTCAATCTAACGTGCCATTATTTTTTCATTTTATGTAACATTGAAAATGTTATGGGGTTGACTTCAGACAACTACAGCGAGTAGATACAGGTGGTTCTGCTATAACATGTGTTTTGTTAACCCGAATTGGCTGTAACGCGATTGATGAATAGTGGATGCTGTTTGGATAATGCAAACTTTCTGCTGTACGGGTATAGTGATTTTCTATAGCGATTTCCCTATAATGTGATTTTCTATGGCAATTTTCTATAGTGTGATTTTTCTATAGGGCCAGGTCTCTCAGGATGCAACAATCACGTCATAGGAGAACGACCTGTACACATAGCAAAGCATTTTTTAAAAACCCTTTAAAATTCTCAATCTCCATTGTACATTTCTAGGACAATGAAGATGAAGACTTTAGTTTCTAAGCAACTCTTAGACATCTTATGCGTACCACCAGGAAATGAACAGGAGCAAGTTGCCATAAATAGCAGAGAACATTAAATCAACAAAGAATTATTAGAAAACAACATTACAGATAGAAGCATTACTGTTGCAAAAAATGATATTCAAAGGTAATACAGATTAAAATTCAAATATTTATTGTATTTTCTTGTTTTTGAGAATGATGTGTCAGATTGGTATCACCAATTTTCCCGCTTTCAAAGATGACCTCTAATCAGAGTCACAAGATTCTGACGTGGTTTTCTTGTGAATGAAGAGGGTGATTCTTGATGCATGTATGTTCCAACTCATTTTGGATCGGGCTTACAAGACTAGCTTCCTTTTTCTTTCTCTTTCCACCATCACTACGCCTCATCAGTAAAGCATGATGCAGTTTAATAGACAACTTGTCATCATTCTGAATAATCGGTAGCAAGCTCGTCCTTATCATTAAGATTAATGTTTCTGTGCTTCAGAGTGTTGTAGAGTATCTTTGGAGCATGTTCTGCATCCTCCCTTGGAACATTGACCATTTGGGAGCTAAAAGAACAGGACCTGATGGAGGAGACAACTTTTGGCCACCTGGACACACTTGCCAGTCCATCAAAGTCTTTCAAATCTGGCTTCAACATTTGAACGAATTCTGGTGTCACCGTCTTTTCACTGAATTTGAAGGATGCAGTGAAGGTGTTGCTGATAGAATTTCTCTCTCACTTTTTTTCTTTATTCTTTCAGGGATGAGGGTGTCACCGGTGTACACTTAACTTGCCCTAGAAACATGCGATTTCAGAGGGCAGTTAAGAGTCAAGCATATTGCTGTTGGTCTGGAGTCACATGTTGGCCAGACCAGGTAAGGATGGCCAATTCCCTTTCCTAAGAGTGAGCAGTGAACCAAATAGTTATTTTTTTTACAGCAATCAGTGGCAATTTTATGGTCACCATTTCAATTGCAGATCCTTTTTAAAGCTTGAATCTAAATTCCAACAACTACCACAGCATTAGCCTGGGTGTCTGGAGTGCTAGGCCAGTGACATCACCAGGATGCCACTATGTCTCTCTATGTCAACTGTGCACAGTTGAGTTCTTGCTGCATACACTAACACAGTAATGACAAGTTGGTTTGAATTATTTTATTATTGTCACATGTACTGAGAATGTGAAAAGCTTTGCATGCTAACCAGGCAAATCATAACTTACGTAAGTACATCAAGGTAATAGAAAAGAATGCAGAATATAGTGTTACAGTTACAGAGAAGGTGCAGAGAAAGATCAATTCTAATATGAGAAGTCCATTCATAAGTCTGATAACAGTGGGGAAGAGGTTTTTGAGAAGATTTGTAGCTCGGATTGTGGATGAGGTTGGAGACTTGCTCGCTGAGCTGGTGGGTTTGGTTGCAGACATTTCATCACCCTGCTTGGTTGCAGACATTTCATCACCCTGCTTGGTAACATCGTCAGTGTGCCTCCGGTGAAGCGTTGGTGTTCTGTCCCAGACAAAGAAGGACATTAATTCGACTGGGACCACACATCCATAATAGCACGAGCCAAACAGAGACATACCAGGGAATTCCTGGAGGCCTGGCATTCCAACCGGAACTCCGTCAACAAACACATTCAACTGGACCCCCTATGCAAACCACTGAAAAACAGAACCGGAAGTAATGCCAACCTCCCCAGCAAACCAAGACATATAAATAAGGAGGGACAGAACACCGAAGCTTCACCGGAGGTGCATTGACAATGTTACCTAACAGGGTGGTGAAATGTCTGCAATTAAACACACTGGCTTGGCGAGCAAGTCTGCAATCTCAGTGGGGAAGAAGCTCTTCTTGAATCGGCTAGTATGTGTTTTCAAACTTGTATCTTTTGCCTAATGGAAGAGGGTGGAGGAGTCTTGTATTATGTTGGCTGCTCTCCCAAGGCAGCGGGAAGTGTAGATGAAGTTAGTGGAAGGAAGGCTGGTTTGCGTGATGGACTGGGCTGTGTTCACAACTCTGTGATTTCTTGTGGTCTTGGGCAGAGCAATTGCCATTCCAAGCCGTGATGAATCCGGATAAAATGCTTTCTATAGTACATCTATAAAAGTTGGTAACAGTCATTGGGGACATGCTGAATTTCCTTAGCCTTATGAGGAAGTAGAGACAGTGGTGTGCTTTCTTGACTGTAGCATTGACATGATGGACCAGGATAGATTGTTGGTGATATTTACTTCTAGGAACTGGAAGCCATCAACCACTCTACCTCAGCACCATTGATACAGACAAGGGTGTGTCCTCCCCAACTTGCAGAATGTGTTTACCAGCTCCTTCATTTTGCTGACATTGAGGGAGAGATTGTTGTCTTTACACTACACCACTAAACTCTCTAACTGCTCTGTACACGAGTACTGTTGTTGAATCCTGGAGGTCATTGTTGTCAAACATGCAATTCCATAGAGTTTGTGGAAAGCCAAATTGAGGCAGCTGATCCAGTGTTGGATCCCCTCTCAAAATGGTGGACTTACCAGGGAGCTAATGTAGTGATGGCAGAAGTCCTCAAAATGTTCCAAAGTCTCTCCTCCAACATGTAAAGGAAGTGGAACATTTAGTTGACCAGGTGCATGATATAATTTTAATTTTGGCAACATTCAAGGACAGGCTGAGTTTCTTGTATGGAGAATTGAAGAATTTGAGAGTGGCTTACAAATCTGCAGAATGGGCAGCAATGCTGCATTATACAGAACACTGTAGATCATGTACAGTTACATATCACAGGTATATATACATAGCAGATGAGTAACACTTGAATTTATGTTGTTACATTGCCACCTTATGGAACTTTGTGCATGTTCATGTATGAGTCACAGAGTCATAGGATGGAATCTTAGCCCACGTTGCTCAGAGCCTTGTATAGCAAGATGAATGGTAGACTCCGGGTAAGATGCTAATCTCAGATGTTGAGATTGTTTCACCACAACTTGCTCCCTTAGCTCAAGCGTGTGGCAAGATTCTCACCAGGGAATGCTAAATTCCCAATTCCTTCTTTATTGCTTGTTAACAACACAGCTTGCAATCTTACCAAACTGGCCATTGGGAAACCTCAACATGGAAACTAGAGTGGGTTTTGGTGGATTTAACTTGGTTTGCTCCACATGATCCATGTTGTCCACTGGAGAGTACGGCATGATCCACAAACCTCAAGACCCTTCTACCATGGACACTGGCACTCGCACTCCACTTTTAGGAGTCATTGTCACTATCCTCCAATGTGCTGGTACTGTGCCCCTGTAAAGGCACAGTGGTCTAAGAGGACACACTGGATACGAGCAGTGTGTGGCTGTACAAAGTAGATGTTCCACACAGAGCAAGGAAATTATGACATGGATTTTACCAGGCTGACTGCTGGGGTGCTTTCTTGCCCTCTACACACACTCACCAGATGCCTACTGTCATGCCCTCACCATGCATACCTTCCCCTGCCAAGTCTTGCCTTGCATTTGTGATTGGCACATCAGACAACCAGGCAGGTCACCACTCTGTACAGCTATCCTCAGTCAAGAGTCTGTGTATCATGTTTTATGTCAGCGTGTCACATCACCGAGGCCACATGGTGCTAGAATATTCACACAAAGCACACAGCATTTGCAGCAAGCAGTGCAACATGTCTGAAAGTCTTAGGGGTGTGTCTGCAGCAAAGTCAACGCAGCCCAGTACAGTTAGTCAAGAACAGCCTCCAATAGCATTCCCAGTCATCAATCACAATCAGGTATTGGATCAGGTGGAACTGCACAGGGGCACCATGCCTCCATGTTACAGGGAGTGAGTCATAGCCAATCCTGTTTCTCCATAGGGGTCCTTTCAGGGCTGAGAACCCTCATGGTCTGGGTTATGTGCCTTCACTAGACCGGGGTCTGAGTAACTCGGGGCCAATGCTGGCAGATCCGGTCACTCGAGGGGATGGGCCACAATCATTTCATCACCATGTCCACAGACAGGGGAAGTGGGGTCACTGGTGAAAGGTGGGGACAAGTAGGCAGTTTTAATCGCGGCTTCAGTGCTGACCAAAGGACATATGTAGCCTGTGAGGTCAACAGCCTGGACACATGGAAAGGAAAGGCCTGACGTTGAGGCTGAAAGCTACTCGGAGGACCACTTGCTGTCATATCAATCGTCAAGCACATCAATAGTACACTATGTGGAGGAGAGTGACTGTGAAAAGTCTCACCATAGGTGCAGTAAGTGAGCTGACTTGTGAGGGAGGCCTGTATCTCCACCCATTCACTAGGTTTTCTCAGGAAAAACATTGCCCTCCAACACATAATGTGGTTCATACAGGATTGCAAGGCAACTACCTCCCGCAGCATTAACTGTCTCGGTCGCGACTCAATGTCACTGTCAGTGCCAGTGATCTCCCCGAGATGTACACTCCTGTATACCCGACCAGCCAAACACCAGGCAATGATAAGGACGTGGGAGGCCAATGAGTTAGAGGGAGCCGATGCCATGTAGATTCATTGCTACCCCTGCTCCTGCTTGATAAATTTGGATAACTGCAGATCCCCAATCACTGCGCTTCATTAATGACCTTGTTAAGGAATAATTCTGCAGGGCGTTACCAAGTGTGTACAGTCACAACAAAGGCAGGGACAACCACATGCATAGTGAAACACAACAGCTTATGAAAAGTTATAACTATTTACATACTACTGGTTGTGAAATAAACTGTAATCGTGAAAGTGTTTTCAAAATAAACTGTGGACATAAGAGTATAGCAAACAAACTGTTTAAATCTGATATGATGATCAACAATTTATGTACAACATACAAACACACAAGCAAGTTAGCCACTCATCACTTCAAGTTTGCTCCATCCTTAAATAAGATCATGGTTGATCTGATTTTAACCATAACTCTACATTTCTCTATACCCCTAATAATCTTTGATGTCCTTGATTCTTGATTACTAATCTTGAATTCCAAAGACACCCAATTTCCTGAGAGAAAAAAAGGTTTCTCAAGTCGGTCTTAAATTGGTGCCCCTTTGTTTTTAAACCATGAACCCTAGTTCTAGATTCTCCCACAAAATGGTGAAAAGGATATTCTGTTTCCATAAGTTGGTATGTCAGTAACTAGGGGTCACAGTTTCAAGAATG